GGGGAGGGAGAGGGAGAGGAGAGAGGGAGGGGAGAAGGAGAGAAGGGGGAGAGGGAATGGACTGGCGGAGGGGAGGGGAGGGAGAGGGAGAGGAGAGAGGGAGGGGAGAAGGAGAGAAGGGGGAGAGGGAATGGAGGGGAGAGGGGGAGGGGAGGGAGAGGGAGAGGAGAGAGGGAGGGGGAGAGGAGGGGGGAGAGGGATTTGGGGGCTTGAGGGGGATTTGGAGGGAGGGAGGTCACGTGTCCCTGCACGTGTCACGTGGGAGTGACTGGGGGAGAGGGGGAGACCCCCGAGCTCTTCCCTCTCCCCTCCCTCCCTCTCCCCCCTTCCCTTCTGCCAGATCTTCCTCTCCCCTCCCTCCCTCCCTCTCTCTCCCCCCTCTTTCCCTCCCTCCCCTCTCCCTCTCCCCTCCATTCCCTCTCCCCCTTCTCTCCTTCTCCCCTCCCTCTCTCCTCTCCCTCTCCCTCCCCTCCCCTCCGCCAGTTTTGGGCGGATTTTGTCCGTTTTGGGACTTTTTTTTAGGCAGCTTTTAACCAAAATCGTTATTTCAATAAATGAGAAATAAACGAATTTTGGAAAAGGGACGTCAATGAAGGAATCAAATAAAGAGAATTTAAAAATAATGAAATGAAAAGGGAAATTAGAAATAATAAAATCATAAAACGAAATGGAAAAATGAAAAACATTAAAACTAATAAAATAGTAAAAGTGTAATAAAAATAATAAAGTAAAATAAAAGTAACAAAATAAGAGGACTATAAAATAAACGATGAAATAGAAATAATGAAATAATGATAAAATAGAGAAATAATAAAATAACCATAAGCCAAGTCATAAAATAGAAAAATAAAAACCAGTGAGTGATAAAATATAAAAACTACAAAATAGTGATAAGATATGAAAAATTAATAATAAAATAATAAAATAAAATTGGGGGCGCCCTTGTATCCCTATGCTGTGCTATTTTGGGGGTAATTCGAGGAGAATCGGGGTCAAAAGAGGCGAAGATTCTTTTTTTAGTCGTCCATCCCGTTCGAGCCCGGCGGGAACCGGGAGAGCGGCGGAAAAGGCCGCGGGTGGCTGAGCCCTGGGGGCCGCCATGTTGTACGGCAGCTGAGGGGGCCGCCATGTTGTACGGCAAGAGAAGGGGCCGCCATGTTGAACGGCGGGAGGAGCCTTGACAGCATTTCCGCTTCCTGTAGAGAAGCGAGGTTGAACTAAGGCCCGGGGGAGAAAAAGGGGGATTTTAGGAGGGTTTGAGGGTCTCGGAGGGAAGTCTTTGTCCTCCTTTATTTTTGACGGCTTTGCATCAAACTTTCCCGGGGTTTCATTTCCCTCCCAGGGGTTCGACGCCGGCGCGGCCATCTTGAGGCGCGGCGGCGCGGTGACACAAGATGGCGGCTCCCTCATAACAAACCCTGTGTTAATTTTGGAAATAACTCTAAAAGAATCAGGACCAAACCGGGCGCGACGGTTTCCCTTTGCAGACAATCCCGCGCGCCCGGCTTGATCTTACCGAGAACCGGGAGAGCGGCGGAGAAGGCGGCGAGTGAACGAGCACGGAGGGCCGCCATGTTGTACGGCAAAAGGAGCCATGGCGGCACTTCCGCTTCCGCTGGGGGAGCGGCGCGGGAGCGGCGGCGGAGCGGGGGGTAAACACAGGCCCGGGGGGGGCTTGGGGGGCT